TATTTTCTACACAAGTAAATCCCAACTAGGCTAATAATCTAATAGGATTAGTACATTATAAAATTAATTAAGCATGTTATAATAAAATAAGTTTAAAATGGCGCCAAATTATTAGTCATGTCAGGATAGAAGTTTTTTGTCGTCCAAAATCTAAAGGAGTTTCACGTAGGACCCACCCCAGATGTAATGCTGCCTAGGCCTCTTCTCGTTATATAATGCCCACCACCTCCCCACTTCACACCTCCTCATCCTTTTTCTATTTCGGTCTTTCAGCCTTTCACTCTCAGCTCTCTCTCTCTCTCTCTCTCTCTCTCTCTCTGCTTTTTCTTCTTCAGCCAAATACTAGCTTGCTCTTTGTTTTTGTCCCTCATCAGCTTAGATAGGGGCCTTTGTCTTTTTTATTCAAAGGGCAAAGCAAGCAATTGTACCCTACAAAACTAGGACTATCATCAATTGCCCTACAGTTGGGGTTTGTGTTTTCGCAGCATACAATTGAAGGGACACGTGGAAGCATGAAGGAGAATGGCAGCAGGAAACAGGGTGCGCCCTCACCCTGTGCAGCATGCAAGCTTCTTAGGAGGAGGTGTGCGCAGGATTGTGTGTTTGCTCCCTATTTTCCTGCTGATGAACCCCAGAAGTTTGCCAATGTTCACAAAGTGTTTGGTGCCAGCAATGTCAACAAGATGTTACAGGTAATTCCTACTCACTTCTTTCTCAAATACATGAAAAGGGTAGTTTTGGAAGCAACTTTATAACTTTATAAATGACAACAAGAAATGCATATTTGAAGAAACCATGCGCCTTACGTTACGAGATTGTGAATCTGATCCACACATTTAGGCTAGATCAACAGACAACGCAAGTATAGGTCTAACAAGGAAACAAAATAGCATAATTTGCTTCCAAAAACCCTTTTAGTCTTGTGGGAGCGTTCATATTTGTCAATTCGAAGTGTTCATATTGGAAAAGGAAGTACTGATAAGTATTATCTAGTTGTTTTGACAACACAGGTGCTTACTATTTGGGTCCAAGATGAGCCAAAATTGCTCAACGGTTAACAAGACCTTGAATCTGATAACGGGGTAATAAAGTCAATTTATGGATACGATATATACAACATTTGTTCTCACCAAGTCACCTTTTTCACTTTCCATTGGGAAGAAAAAAAAAATCTATTTTGTATTTTTCTACAAACTTCTTCTAAGGCTGTTTTCTTCATCACGTGAAGTTGTTTCTTGCGTCTTATTATTTTATTCTATGTAAAAAAAAAAAAAACCAAAAATATTTTATTTGGGCACTACTTTTCTCATTTGGGTCCATAAAATGTGATAAATAAAAGATACCAAAATCAAAGATAAACAAAAGAAAGCTTCTTCTTCCTTTTTCTTCTTTTTTGTTTTTATTTTTTTTGGAAATATTTAATCATATACCCATTCTTAGCACTAATAATATAAATAAATTCTTTTTTGTTTTTATTTTTTTTGGAAATATTTAGTCATATACCCATTCTTAGCACTAATAATATAAATAAATCCTACGATACCAAAATCAAAGATAAACAAAAGAAAGCTTCTTCTTCCTTTTTCTTCTTTTTTGTTTTTATTTTTTTTGGAAATATTTAATCATATACCAATTCTTAGCACTAATAATATAAATAAATTCTTTTTTGTTTTTATTTTTTTTGGAAATATTTAGATATATACCCATTCTTAGCACTAATAATATAAATAAATTCTTTTTTGTTTTTATTTTTTTTGGAAATATTTAATCATATACCCATTCTTAGCACTAATAATATAAATAAATTCTTTTTTGTTTTTATTTTTTTTGGAAATATTTAATCATATACCCATTCTTAGCACTAATAATATAAATAAATTCTTTTTTGTTTTTATTTTTTTTGGAAATATTTAATCATATACCCATTCTTAGCACTAATAATATAAATAAAT